ATATATATATAAAATGTCCTTAAAAAGAAATACACATAAGCCAGGCTATGAAATGATCAACTGACAATGCTACCCAAGAGGCTTACTGGAGCCCCATCCTATATTTATCCAAGGAGCAATGTTCAGCATTTGCTAACATACATGCTTACTTATAGGCTACAATTACTACAACAATGAGAATTAACCAGGTGCTGGTAATTTCCAAAGCGCTGCAACAGAAATTTTAATTACTCTCTAAAATAGTCCTGGATGCTCTGAGTACTGCATCTGAAAAATCACATAACATAAAGAGAAAGCTTCTATGACAAGGGTCATCTCACTGAACTTTGTCCTAGATTGGGATCTATCATGCTGATTTTGATGGGCTAGTTATATTTTCTAGTATATATTTGTGCTGGATAGCTTTAGTTTCAACTTGACACACCTGGGTTGAGGGAGCCTCAATTGGGGAATTTCCCCCATTGGACTGGCCTGTAGCTATGTCTGTGGGGTACCTTCTTGATTGTTGAGTGATGTGGGAGGGCCTAGCCCATTGTGGGTGGTGCCACTCCTGGGCAGGTAGGCCTGTGTTGCATAAACCAGCAGGCTGAGCAGGGGCTGGGAGAGCAAGCTAGTAAGCAGCATTCCCCCAAGGCTTGTGCTCCAGTTCCTACCTCCAGGTTCCTGCCCTGAGTTCCTACTTTGGGCTCCCTGATGAACTGCTGGACTGTGACCCAGGAGATGTAAGCTGAATAAACCCTTTCCTCCCCAAGTTGGTATTGGTCAGAGTGTTTTGTCAAAGCAATGGAGAAACAAACCAGAGCAATATTAAAATAGTACATCTGTACTAAATTTTTTAAGCATTTGTATGTATATTACAAAATTATCTCATGTACCTCCAAACGGTGCATGTACCAACACTGACACATGACTCACATTCAGGAAAACTTTGTTGTACACACCACAGAAAAGTTATGACTTTTAAGAGAGACTTTTTTGTTGTTCTTCTTCTTTTTGAGACAGGGTCTCCCTGTAGCCCCAGCTGGCCTGGAACCCACTATGTAGACCAGGCAGGCCTTGAACTCACACAGATCCACCTGCCTCTGCCTCCTGAGTGCTGGGATTAAAGACGTGCGCCAGCATGCCCAGTAAGAGAGACATTTTCCAGCCCTCATCTACAATGGTTGTACTTCTCTCAATTCAGTTAAGAAAACTACTATAGATCATAAGGCAAAATTGATGATAGTCACCATAGCATCAGTATGGGAAGAGACAAAGAGCCTATGATGGGATCCAAAGTAATATTCTATAGAGACATCGAGAAGCAGCACTGTAGTATGTACCTGAGGCTATGTCAGACTGCTGTAATAACAGCCTGGGATCACCTTCTTGATCCAAAAACTCAGCACTAGCAGCAGGTTGCTGCAAGCAGACGGACTGTCCTGTTAAGATGTTCTCTGCCGCCACTGTCAGCCTGGGCCTTTGTCCTTCACTAAGTTCACCCACACTGTTATCCAAGTCCTTTAAAAATAGAAACAACTGTTACGGCCGTTATATTAAAATCAATCAAAACAGGAAATACTTTTAGAATACCATGATCCATACCACATAAGTGCTTATTGTGTTCCATTTAAGGTACATGAAAGATTATTTAAGAAGTTAGTTTGGAGCCAGCAAGATGGCTCAGCAGGTAAGGGTGCTTGCTGCCAAGTGTGACAACATGAGTTCAATCCCTAGAACCTACATGGTACAAGGTGAGAACCAATTCCTGCAAGTTGTCCTGATCTCCATATGTGGTATATGCATTCACTTGGACACACAAATAAATAACAAATTTTTTTTCAAGAAAGTTTTAATGATTGGGGTATGTGTATTATGTGTTTGTATGCATGTATGTATATAGGTATGCATGTGTGGATACACATGCACATGTGTACACGTGCATATGGAGGCCAGAGATTGATGTCAGTGTCCTCTTTAATTGCTTCTCCACCTTAATTCTGAGACACATTTGCTCCCTGAACCTGGAGCTGTCCCAGTTGGCTAGACTGGCTGATCAGCAAGCCCCACGGATCCTCTGTCTCTGCCTTCCCAGTGCTGGGATTACAGGAGCACACCACCATGTCTGGCTTTTTACTGGGTGCTAGAGACCTGAACTTACATCTTCATGCTTGTGTGACAAGCACTTTACTGACTATCATTATCTGGTTTTCAAGTTCCAATAGAAACAAAACAGAAGAAAAATTCTATTGTAATTTAAAACATTAAATGCTGGTACCCATTATACATCATCCAAACAGCTTAAAACTGGAATAGAAATTATATTTCTCATTCCATACAAATTGAAATCACTTAAACTTATGATTAATTGATGGGAATAGCATTTTGTAACTAGCATAAAGATTACCTCCATATAAATATTTATAAATTATATAAATAATTATTTTCCTAGTTTGTTTTTTTTTTTTCTTTTTTTTGAGACAGTTGTGCTTCATAGTCCTGGCTGGCTGCAAGCCTGAAATCATCCTGCCTCAGCAGATACATTTTCCCCAGAAATCACTTAGAAATATTTCACAGTGCCTGTGCTAGTGGTTAAAGGTGAAGGTCACTCTTAATCATTCTGCATCTTTCCCAAGGTTGTATATGGCATAAAATATACATCCAATAAAAGGTGGCAGTCAATGGCTCTCATAAATCAGATTCATTTTTTTAATTAGCATTAACAAGTGATATGTTTCATTACAGTGTTTTCACACAAACTTTGTTTCTGTTGATCCTCCTCCCTCACCTCTTCCCTAACCCAACTCTCTTGTATCTTTTTCAGTCCCAGTAATTCCCTTCCACTTTCATATCACATGTATTCTATAATCTTCTTCTCCTTCTTCCTTCACACACACACACACACACACACACACACACACACACACACACACCCCCCATCAGTTTACACTCCCACCCAGCAATGAATAAGGGTACTGTGCTGGATAGCTTTAGTGTCAACTTGACACACCTGGGTTGAGGGAGGCTCAATTGGGGAATTGCCTCCATTGGACTGGCCTGTGGCCATATCTGTGGGGCTCTTTCTTGACTGTTGAGTGATGTGGGAGGGCCCAGCCCACTGTGGGTGGTGCCACTCCTGGGCAGGTGGGCCTGTGATGGATAAAAAAGCAGGTTGAGCAGGCGCCAGGGGAGCAAGCCAGTAAGCAGCATTCTTCTATGGCCTGTGCTTCAGCTCCTGTCTTGAGTTGTACCCTGGGCTCCCTGATGAACTGTGACCCAGGAGATGAAAGCCAGATAAACCCTTTCCTCCCCAAGTTGGTGTGGTCAGAGTGTTTTGTCACAGCAATGGAGGGAAAACTAGAGCTAGCCTGGAACTTGTTATGTAAACCAGGTTGGCCTCGAACTCACTATGTAAACCAGGTTGGCCTCGAACTCACAAAGATCCACCTGCCTCTGCCTCCCAAGTGCTGGGATTAAAGGTGTGCGCCACCACACCTGGCTGGTCAGAGTATTTTGTCACAGCAATGAAGAAACAAACTAGGACAGGTACAAATCCTTTTCAAGAGCTTCACTTTGGGTCAATGAGATGGCTCAGCAGGTCAGAACACTTTGCAGCCAACCCTGAAGACATAAGTTAGATCCCCAGTACCTACACGATGGAAGTAGAAAATGAGTCCTGCAAGTTGTCTTTTGCCCACCAAGCCAAAAACAATGAAATCTGATTTATGGCACACATTGGCCCACATACATACATACATACATACATACATACATACACAAATATACACACAGAAGCACGCAAAATAAATATAACTTTTAAAAACAAAGTTTCGTTCTTTTTTTTCAATTATCACATAAAATTGGAACAGATGGCCTATATTCTTCTCAGTTAAAAATGTATGAAATTCTCAATAAAGTTTTTCTAAAATTAAAAAAAAAATGCAGTTCTGACTGCAGGTTAAGGCTTCTATAACACTGTTTATACAGTAACTTAAACATTAACTTACCTTAATTAAAAGTTGGATACTTAAATGTTTTTCCTGTATTTATATTTACCCCGCCCCCGAAAAATCAATAGGGTTGAAAAGTACCTCTGTTTGCTGTAAAACGAGTAGCTCCTGGTCTTGTTTAGTAAGAAGAGAAAGAATTGCATCTGCATGAAACTTTTTGGGGGGCATCCTAATCACCTGCCCTTCACTAGGAGGATCATCTTCCTAAAAGAAACATAAAGACAGCTGATACAGCAAAAAACCTTATCAAACAATTTCACTTTTCTCAATTGTGATTAATAAAACTTTAGAGAAAAAAATGATACCAGTATAATTCATGTAATTCTTGTTTCCATTTGACTGTAATAAAGACACTTTACATTTGCTTCAAATATTTACAAGACTATAAAGTAACCTGGTAACATTAAATTGTAGATTTATTACAGAAACATGAAAGTTCGACCTTCTGTCTCAAGTGACTAGGCTGTAGTAATTCATAAATATTTAAAATGAGTCCATAGCCAGGTGTGGTGGCACACGCCTTTGGTCCTAGCACTCAGGAGGCAGGGGCAGGCGGATTTCTGTGAGTTCAAGGCCAGCCTGGTATACATAGTGAATTCCAGGCCAGCTGTGACTACAAGGAGACCCTGTCTCAAAAAAACAAAAAATAAAAAAAATTTTAAATGAGTTCATAAGGATTTTATATATGTTCACACAGAGCTCGAGTTTTGAGCTCACAGGATCTCCTGCTTCATATTTATGTAGCATGACAATGAGAATCTAGCACTGGGGTAAAGCTGCAACCTGGACCACAGACAAAAACAGAAACATAACAGCATATACAGACCCTCAAGATCCTCTGCCTTTGTGCCAATATCTGCCTTTAGCTATGGAGCAGGTTACTGAAAGCCATCATTACAGTACTTTGCCTAGGCTTCACCATGCCTCAAGATAGAGTTATCTGACAAATAAGGGACACTATGGGCCTGCATATCAGACAGAATGGATTCCTTTGTAAATACAGATATAAATATGATTTTAAATTCATTAAAGCAATTGCTTCTTGGTGTTTTGGCTAGGATCAAATACAAATGCATTAAAAGTATTTTTGATTATCTTATTTCAATGAAATAAAGCATATCAACTCAGGATTACATCTCCTACTTGTATATAGGTAAATGCCTAATAATACATGTGACCTCAGGTAATCCTGGGTTTTCTAGATTATACTTTTGTGTTTGACCTTATTATATAATTGTAGCACATCTGCTTTAGATATAGAAAAAAAATTCACAATTAGAAATTAATTACAAATGAAGAAAAAGATTATAATTTATTTGGTTCAGCTGATCAATTTACTTTAATGAAAGTTAAACATGCATTAGCATCAGATAAAGTTTAAGAATGAAGAACAATTCCATAAAGGTATATTAAATAGGCCACATGTATACATAATGCTCCTCAAAAAGTATTCACTTCACTTCTCTCCATATTATTTTCTAACAGTTACTGCAACTCTTTTCATAAGAGACTCAACCAGTTACTTAATAAATCATCATTGTTAAAAAATAACCATTCAAGGGGGCTAGAGAGATGGCTCAGCAGTTATAAACACTAGCTGTTCTTGCAGAAGACCCAGGTTCAAATTCCAGAACCACATGGCAGCTAACAACTATCCATAACTCCAGTTCCAGGGGATCCGATGCCCTCTTCTGTCCTCCATGGGCATTGCACAACATTGGGTGCACTTACACACATGCAGGCAATACATGCATACACATAAAATAAAAATATTTTTAAAAAATAACTGTTCAAACAAAATGTTATCAAAACAACTTTTAAAAAAAATTTATCATTTTTGTTGGGCATGGTGGTGCACGCATTTAGTCCCAGGCAGAGGCAGGTGTTATCTCTGTGAGTTCAAGGCCAGCCTGGTCTACATAGTGAGTTGCAGGCCAGCTGGGGCTACAGGGAGACCCTGTCTCAAAACGACCAAAAAAAAAAAATTATTTTTATTTTATGAGTGTATTGCCTCATGTATGTAAATGCACCCATGTCATGAAATGCCTGTAGAGGGTGTTCCTGGACCTGAGGTTACAGATGGTTGTCCTTTACAAGAGCAGTCAGTGCTCTTAACCAATGAGGCAACTCTCCAGTCCCCCACAAAAAACCCCTTACTGAAGTACTTGTCTACTCCTTTATGAAATAAAAACTTTTGGAAAAAAAAAACAGCAATAGGGGATGGAGAAATGGCTCAGTGGTTAAGAGCACTGTCTGCTCTTGCACAGGACCTTGGTTTGGGTCCCTGCACCCACATAACAGATAACAGCCATCTGTAACTCCAGTTCCAGGGGATCTGACACCCTCTTCTGGCCTCCACAAGAATTGGTTGTATATGATGTACTTACATGAAGACAAAATGCTCATGCATATAAAAATAAATTTTTTAAAAAAAGAAAAACAACAGTGATGCTTAGCAAAGGATATGGTGTTGAATATAGCTACCTTTCTTTGTTAAGTCACTTCAAAACATAAAAAGTAAAAAAAATTCTTTAACAGGTTTAAAAGAAAAGTCATAGTATCATTTCTGTATATATGCATTACACATATAAATAAAATATATGACATAATTTTCTTCTGTGGGGCTAGATAATAACTGGAAGGATTACTTTTCCTAGATTCTATTTTGATTTTTATTTGTAAGTCATTAAATTTATATATCTATTAGCCCAAAGAATTATAACTATGATTAGTTGAAAAATAAATGTATTACATAAGAATTGGTTAAAATATTTAAGATTCTGTTCAAAACAATATAACAATGACAAATCTAAGAAACAATTTATACTTTGGTTTCATTATCTAATTACATTAACTGTGTATATTTTGACTAAACTCAGAGGCTAGTAACACCTTTCTTTCATTCTTCCATTATATAAGATCATATAATGAAATGTGTAAGAAACCCTAAAACTCTTCATGACTAGTATTCCCCCGCAGTCCCTTCCTCCTCCCTCCCTTCCTTTCCTTCTTTCCTTTTCTCCCTGAGGCAAGGTCTTGCTGCTTGCTGTGTAGTACTCAAACTCATAATCCTCTTGTCTAAGCCTCTGAGTTATAAGGTATCTGTGACTAGAGACAGGAACTTACCACTGTGCCCAGATACATGGATAGCATTTACTAAATTTTGTGCCTAACTCTAATCACTGAAGAGAAGCCCACTCAAATAGCCATGCGTAGACTCTTCCACTGAGAATACAGCACGGCATGGGAATCATTTCTCTCTTACCATTTCGAGGGCATCATGCAGAGTGCTGGATAAGCTATCATTTACATTCATCAGACATAATCCTCCATTTCCTAAAACTAGAAATTATAGTACAGCAATTTAGAAAAAAAAAGAAGACAAATATGCTAAGTAATTTGACCAGAAAGTAGAAACACATTAACCTCATAATATAATAGAAATACTGGCAAAGTTCATATTTAAGTAATTTGTGAATTACTCGATTTTATCATTTTAAAATAGTGTAGTTTATAACAAAGACCCAAAAGTTCAGTGCCTTGCCACAACAACAGGAGGAAGATCATCCCATACCTACCACCCCCTCCAAGGCTCAGGGACTTTTGCAGAAGACGTTGGCAGAAAGAACATAAGAGCCGGAGGAAGGGGTGGAGTGTTACCTGGAAGTGTCCTCTGACCACTATGCCGGCAAGCTATAGTCACACCTCTTTCCCACGCTCATCAACAAGTCAATGGGGGAGTCAAGTTACCTCTCCCACCCAATCAGCTGACCTTAGCTGCAATGTGGGGGAGGGGCAAAGGATACATAAGCCGAGAACACCGTGGGACACCTCTCACCATTTTGTGTAGCTGTCAGGAAGTCACAGGATCTATATTGGAGTGTGGACTTCACAGCACAGCTGTAAATGGGGGGCACTGCTCTTCTGTAAATAAATCCCTACCCTATGCTCTGTTAGCAAATCCAATAAACTAGTCAGGATTAAAAAAAAAAAAAAGAATAAAGTTAATGGAAACCATCATTATTCCACCAACATTGACCTCATGTTGACAAATCCTTTGGTCTTTGATTTTTTTTTTTTTCCTCTTTTTTTGGTCTTTTTGGGACAGGGTCTCCCTGTGACCCCAGCTGGCCTAGAGCTTGCTGTGTGGACCAGGCTGGTCTTGAACTCAGAGATCTGCTGGGCTCTGCCTCCCAAGTGCTGGGATTGAGGACGTATGCCACCATGCCTGGCTTTAGTCTATGATTTCTTATTCCCACTTTTCCACCCTTAAACTTCATTGTGTGTGTGTGTGTGTGTGTGTGTGTGGGTGTGTGTGGGTATTTTTTTTTTTTTTGGTATTTTTGAGGCAGGGTCTCCCCATAGCCCCAGCTGTCCTGGAACTCACTATGTAGACCAGGTTGGCCTTGAACTCACAGAGATCCACCTGCCTCTGCCTCCCAAGTGCTGGGATTAAAGGCGTGCACCACCATGCCCGGCATCATTGTGTATATTTTTGATGTAACCTGCTTCAATTGTTTCTGGAAAATGTGTTAAAAACTGCCTCTTTTTGGAATAATAAAAATATTCTTAAAAAAAAAGTTCAGGCTTCACAATTATATGCACATCATGAACCTATTTAAAGGTAAATATACACAAATATGTATTTAGGATCTATACATGCAAAGACAAAAACAGGCTAGCAGTATATACCTCAAGTTATTATCAAATTAATTTTCCAAAATTAGAGCTCAGAAAAGTTAACTTGCACAGACTTCCTATTCTTTCTATTATAGCATGTTAAATATTGAGAGTTAAACAAAAAAATTTTTTAAAAAGTTATTACCAAGGAAATTATAATAATGCAACTAGTAAAGTCAATTAATATAGGTTTACTTACTCTTGGTAGCCAAGTTTTGACCATAGCTAAATAAAATCTCTCCTTCAGAGATAGGCCTATCTAAGGTTTCTGTATCAGTGACAGTGATGCTCAAAGTGTTCTCCAGTGTTGATGAACCAGAACTTGGCATCTGTATTGGAGACTGGGCCTTTGTGTCCATAGGAAGTGGCTCTGAAGGTGCAGGCAGAGCAGAGAAGTCAACACTCGCAGATTCTTCATCCTTAGCCACAGACATCACACTAACAACATAAAGAAATATTTTGAATTTAGTAGGTCTCTCAAGGCCTATACCCATTCATCTGTAAAAAAGCAGATTTAAAGGTGTTATCTCCTTTAGCAAAGTATTTCTATGATCTACACTATGAAAAGTAATCAACAAGGTTCTTTTTCTGAAATTGTTTTCATGCTTTAATCAGGTCATCTTAAAAGCTTTTCTAGCCACAAAATGAAGTCTACTTATAACTTAAAACTTACTACTTATAACTTATAACTGATCATAGTAAATGATGATCTACATTAGAGAGAAATCATTTCATGATTCATTAACAATGATAAAAGTTTATTATTTATTTCAAACCTTTAAAAAAGACATGGTATAAATGTTTGATTTTTTTAATTTTAATTTTTTTAATTACAAAATTCCTTATTCTAAAATATAGATTAAAGTCAGACATGACTATAATCCTAGCACTAGGGAGGCTGAGGCAGGAAGATTGCCAGTTAAGGCCAACCTGATTTACAAAAGTTCCAGGCCAGCCTGGGCTTCATAACAAGTCACATCCAAGCCCTTTCTATGTCATTTTATAGATGGGACTAGAGTGTGGAAAGAGTGAACTCTGGTCAAGTTGCAAAACAACTATATGCTCCACTTACATAGCTTTTGGGTGAAGAAGCTCTTGAAGAGAGTTAGGATTCTCTTCATCCAATGGCAGGTCTCCATTGTCCCATGGCTTGGGAAGATCTGGGCTTGATAACTTCAACTTATCAATGGAAATTTCTGACAAAGTTGGGGTAGGAGCTGCTGGTGGAGGTGGTGTAGTAATAGGGGTAACTGTTGGCGTATTGACAAGTGTAATGGTAGGTATATTGTCACCTGAAAATTTTAAAAAAGAAGAAATTAAAAACCAGTAAACAACTTCATACTATGGTGATTTCTGCTGTTTCAGAGAGCCTTAACATGGTGGTACACAAATAATGGCAATTGTTAATGATGACGACAGTGATGGCTGTTAGAGAATTTCTAAAATAATTTAGTGAAGTGTTAAAAAAAAATTTGAAAGGACGGCATTTTTAAACTACATTTAAAGCAGCTTATCTAGTTATTAGATGACGTATTTTAAGAAGTCATAATGTAGTGTGAGCACCTCCCCTCAAAGTTCATGAGTTAGAAACAATCCCCAAATCCATACGATGCTTTGAGGCAGGCTTGTTGTGAGCTACTTAGGGTTAGATGAGGACATGAAGATGAGGGCTCCATGATGGGACCAGTGGCTCTCTAAGAAGGGAGACCTCAGCTTGTAGGTGCCTGTTCTTTTGTTGCTATATAATGTCTTCTGCCATTTATGATGTAGCAAGAAGGCTCTCACCACATGCAGACTCTGGATCTGACTTCCCAGAATCCAGAACTGTAAGAAATAAGTCTCTTTAACTTATAAATTACCTAGCTTAGGGTATTCTGTTACAGCTGCATAAAAAAGTGGCAACCAATTCCTTAGTTTCCTTGCAAGAGAAACCATTTACTAAAACCTACTAAGCAAAAGCTATTTCTAGTTGCTAAGGTTAAACTGAATTATAGAAACAACATTTCTAGTAGCATGCGAGATGGCACAGCAGGTAAAGCATCTGCCTAACAATCTGAGTTCAATCCTGGAACCCATTTAAAGGGGAAGGAGAGAACATACTCTACAAAGTTGTCCCCTGACTGCTATACATGTGCCATGATAGGTCTATGCCCACACATACACACACAATAATAATGATAACAAAAGAACTTTTTAAAAAGAAACAAAGTCAAGCCGGGAGTGGTGGTGCATGCCTTTAATCCCAGAGGCAGGCAGATCTCTGTTGAGTTCAAGACCAGCCTGGTCTACATAGCTATTTCTAGGTCAGCTGGGGCTACAGGGAGACCCTGTCTCAAAAAGACCAAAATGGGGTGGGGATTTAGCTGAGGGGTAAAGCGCTTGCCTAGCAAGTGCAAGGCCCTGGGTTTGGTCCTCAGCTCTGAAGGAAAAAAGAAAGGAAGGAAGGAAGGAAGGAAGGAAGGAAGGAAGGAAGGAAGGAAGGAAGGAAGGTCCCTATGGTTTTCCCTGTCTGTCTATCCCGCCTCAAAAGAAAGGGAGAGAAAGAAAAGAAAAAAGAAAAGAGAAAAGAAAAGAAAAGAAGGCCTCTACCTTTTTCAGCACATACTTCTTTAACAGGAAAAGCCACATCGTAAGCTGAATCACAGGGAGAAGAATCTGGAGTTTTCACTAGCACATGCTCCTCAGGAGGTGATGGTGAGCCAGGAGGAGTAGGCTGGGGTGTGGCCACTGGAGTACAAACTCTAGCCTAAGATAAATTAGTGAAACAAGACAAAAGGTACTGATCATCACCAAAACAAAAATAATACAAAACAAGGGTGCCCGGGCGTGGTGGCACAGGCCTTTGATCCAAGTACTTAGGAGGCAGAGACAGGGAAATCCCTGTGAGTGTGAGGCCAGATTGGTCTACCTAGTGAGTCCCAGGACAGATGGGGCTACAGGGAGACCCTGTCTCAAAAAAAAAAAAAAAAAAAAAGAGAGAAAGAAACAAAGAAAGAAAAAAGAACAAGTAATAATGCAGTCATTCACTGACTGTATAGAATTCAAATGGACTAGCAAAGTAGCAACAATAACAAAGAAAGCCTAAATACCCTGGCTCTTTAAATACTTACCTGCTAGAGTAAGGCTGGCTTAAAGGAACCCTTGGGCAATTGAAATAACTCCACCTCTGCACTAGGTACCAAAGGCATCCTCTTTTAGCACAGAGAGGAAGATTAACCAGATACAAGTAGAGGTCAAACCCAACTACAAAGTTGATGGGCAGGCCATGCAACAAAAAGGAAGCATTTTAACTGACAAGATACCAAAAAAGTAGTCTCTCAGAAAGAAGTAAAAGCATGAAAAAGTAATGGAAAGATAAAAAAAAGTATGGGATGAAGGGAAATGAACATAATAGGGGATTAAAGGACGAGGGGGGGAAAATGGTAAGACTTTAATATTAATTTTTCAAGTAGGTAATATTCAAATAGTTCAAAAGTTTAAAGACAATGGTGAATGTCTAGTTTGCTTCCTCAGAGTTATCAAATAATCCTGACCTAAGTCAGGATATAGATTTACCTATGAAATAAGTTTCCAGAAGTAAGACTACTTAAAAGAACTGTGTTTTAAATTTGAATAGATACTGCCAGACTTCCCCTAGAGGACTGTACTATTTTACATGACCAGCAGAGGGGGTGAGAAGGCCTATTTCCCCAAAGTTTATCAAACAATAGCATTATCATACTAGCAGAGTTTCAGTGGACTGACTATCTCTTATAGATATAGGGACAGTTTATATTTCTTTGGTGTATGTGGACTACCTTGTCATGTTCTTTGTTGAATTTCAAAATCCATTATCTTTTTCTCTTCATTCTAAAAATTAAGGTGATTAGGCTTTATTCCACATCATGTTGCAAACCACTATGTAACTTAATATAGTGGAGAAGCCTCCAGCCACATCACTCTGAACATACCTGAGCTCATCTAAAATGATGAACGATATCGGAAATTATACAACCTTGTTCAACAATTAGCATATTCTAGCTTTTATTTGTAAAAGAAATAAATACATTATATCTTTTATCCTTGACTAAGTTTTACAAATGAACAAATTTTATCACACATACTCACACATATGAGGAGAGGAGGAGGAGGAGGAGGTGGGAAGACAGCCAGGCACAGTGGTACACACCTTTAATCCCAGCACTTGGGAGATAGAGGGATAGAGGCAGGAGGATCTCTGTGAGTTCCAGTCCAGCTATATAGTGAGTTCTTTCTCAAAAGAGAGAGAGAGAGAGAGAGAGAGAGAGAGAGAGAGAGAGAGAGATTGATTCTGTCATAATCTATGATCTTATAATGTGCAGTTTAAAACTGATCTGCTTTACTCAGGTGGCACGTAAGGAGCTCAGGTGGGACAACTGCCCAGGGCTACTCAGAGTTCCAGGCCAGCTTGGACTCTAGTGTTAAGAGTCTCTTAACAAACAAACAACAATAAAATTAAAAGTAACTATTTTAACCGTTCTTTAATAAATATAATATCTCAAAAGTTCCCCATAATTCTTAGTTCATGAGGGGAGGGAAGAGTTATTCTTACAGACAAGTAGGTCTCGCTTGCTGAGACATCACCAGCAGCACTCAGGGCAGCAGGGCCTTGCTTCTTTGCCTCTCTGTCACCCAGCATGACAGCAATGGTCTCAGCAAGAGCTTCATTAACAAAATGGCTAATCAGGTCTGAATTCACAGGAACTCCCGCATCTACAAAAAGCTGGAGCACTCCACTGCTGGTTCCTGCCACTAAAAAACAAAACTTCATATAAATGGGCAAGAACCATGGCTGTAAATCAAACCTTAATTCTTAAAATTTTAAAGAAGCAGTGTGTGTGTGTGTGTGTGTGTGTGTGTGTGTGTGTGTGTGTGTAAGGAGAAATAAAAAATGAGAATAGAAGCAAACCTACTGTATTACTTTCCTGCTGCTATGCTAAAAACACCATGACCAAAGGCAGCTTAGAGAAGAGTTTATTCTGGGGCTGGAGAGGTGGCTCAGCAGTTAAGAGCACTGGCTGCTCTTGCAGAAGACCCAGGTTCAATTCCCAGTACCCATGCAGCAGCTAACAACTCTCTATAACTCTAGTTCCAGGGGATCCGACACCTCCTTCTGACCTCCGTGAGCACTGCATGACATGGATGCAGTTATACACATGTAGGCAATACACTCATACACATAAAAAAATAAATAAAATATTTGAAAAAAAATAAGAGTTTACTCTGGCTTACAGTTCCAGAGGGATAAGAGTCTATCATGGGGAGGCATGGCAGCAAGCGGCAGGCCTGGCAGAAGCCAAAAGCGAAGAGCTCACATCTTCAACCACAAACAAGCAGAAAGCGAACTGGAAGTGGGGTGAAGCTATGAACTCTGAGCCTTTCCCGCTCCACCCCCCGTGACATACTTCCTCCAACAAGGCTGTACCTCCTACAAGTTCCATGGTCTTCTCCACCACCACCAAGAAGCTAAGTGTTCAAATAATTAAGGCTAAGGGGGACATTTCTCACTCAAAACACCACACCTACTTACCATGAGGAAGACCAAGATAATAATCTAAATAATAAACATCTTCTCTCAACAAACCAAGAGTGAAGAAAATATACAAATGAAAATTTACTTATTTGGCTTCTTCCCTACTACCACATAACTTAATTAAAAATAAATCCACCACTTCACAATTTAAAAAAAATCACATCCATACTAAATGTCCTATGCTGAAAACATTCCATTTCCCCTACTGACCAAAACACAAGGCTGTGTTAAATATGAGGCAAATTTTCCTTCACTCTGGTTCAGATCCATCAGTTATAAACATTACAAGCCAAGCCTCCTTAAACTATAGCAGAATCTGGACAGTTAAAGTTTTATAAAGGAAGAACAGGCTATTCTATTACTAGAAAAAAAAAGGAAAAAGAACAGGTAATAATATATAGAAATGTGCTTTAAAAATAACAAAATTGGAGAACTTATAAAATCATAATAATTGCTCAACCAGGCAAGACAGAAAGTACAAAACAGATGCACACATTTAATTAATTTTCATAATCTTTTAAACAACTGGTGCTAGAAAACCTGGTAATCTCTATGTAAAAAAGAGGAAGAATAAAGGAAAAGAGGAAAAAGGAAAGAATTTTTTAAAAATCTCTCCTTTTTGTCTTTTCGAGACAGGGTCTCCCTGTAGTCCCAGCTGACCTGAACTCACTAAGTAGACCAGGCTGGCCTTGAACTCACAGAGATCTGCCTGCCTCTGTGTCCCGAGTGCTGGGATTAAAGGCATGTGCCACCATGCCTGGCTCATTTACTTTATTTTATGGGTATGTATGTATAATTGAATGTATGTACCACCTGCATGCTGGTGCCCAAAGTGGCCAGGAGAGGGCATAAGAGCCTCTGGAACTGGAGTTACAAGCAGTTTGAGCCACCATGTGAGTGCTGGGAATTGAACTTTGGTCCTCTCTAAGAGCTGCAAGTGCTCTTAACTGCTGAGCCACCTATTCAGTCCCTGAGAGTTCTAATCCTTCATACCATATACAAGCTTTAACTCAAAATATGCTTACTAGCATGAGGGAGTTGCTGAGTGGTAGAGTATTTGCCTAGCAGGGCCACGCAGTCAATGCCCAAAATCAATATCTATCTATCTCTCTCTCTCTCTCTCTCTCTCTCTCTCTCTCTCTCACTCACTCACACAGAACCTAAATGCATAGCCTAAAACTATATATCTTCTAGAAGAAACTATTAGAAAAACTCTTAATGATTTCAAGTTAAGTAAACGTTTCTTAAGAAATATGTCCAAAAATTCCACAAGATACAAAAGAAAAAATAAATTAGACTTCCTCAAAATGAATCCTTCAGTTTTCAAAACATGAGAAAGCAAAGGGGCAGGATACAAAGCAGGTGAGCACACTGCAGAACACATACCTAATAAACTTGTATCAAAAACAAAGAATGTTATAACTCAATAGCACGGAGGGACAAAACCCAGTTTAAAAATGAGCAAAGGAGGCTAGACGTGGTGGCGCACGCCTTTACTCCCAGCACTCAGGAGGCAGAGGCAGGCAAATTGTTGTGAGTTCAAGGCCAGCCTGGTCTACATAGTGAGTTCAGGTCAGCTGGGACTACAGAGAGACCCTGTCTCAAAAAGACAAAAAAAAAAAAAAAAAAAAAAAAAAAAAAGAGAGAGAGAGAGAGCAAAGATTTAAAATTACATTTCACCAACATAAATGACAAATATATGAAAACTTGCACACTTGCACATCATCATTAGTCATAGTTAGCCATTATGATATTTAGTATATTCAGGGAAATGCAAATAAGAACCACAATGAGATATCACCACACAGGAGCAGAATGACTAGAAAAAAAAAAGAGTGCTAATACCAAGTGCTGGTAAAGATGTAGGACAATTGGAATTCTCATGTAATGCTGGTTGGGATACAAAATAGCACACCCACTTTGGAAAATATTCAGCAACTTCTGATAAACATTTATTTATCACATGACTAGGATTAATTAAAAGATGTGTCTAAAGAAAGACTTGTCAGCAAGTTTTTATTTTATTTTTATTTTATGCATGCATGTATTGCCTGCATGCAGGTAAGTGCACCCATGTCATGCAATGCCCATTGAGGACAGAAGAGGCTGCTGGATCCCCTGGAAATGAAGTTACCGACAGTTGTTAGCTATCATGTGGGTGATGGGATTCAAACCCAGGTCTTCTGCAAGAACAGACAGTGTTCTGAACCGCTGAGCCATCTCTCCAGCCCCATCAACAAGTTTTCTTAGCAGTTTTATTTATGATAACCCAAAGTTAAAAGACTACAAATTTCAACCAGCTGATAATTGGATTAGCAAATTATGGTATAACCAGAGTACAATACTAATATATGCATTATTACCAAAATATTGCTCTAGGGCCAGCAAGATGTCTCAGCAAGTAAGGATGCTTGCTGCCAAGACTCATGACCTGAATTCAATCACCAGGACCGACCGAAGGTGGAAAGAGAGAATCAACTCCTGCTATTGTCTTCTGACATCTACAGGTACACAATGGCTCATGTGCACATACACACACACCAAATAAATGTAAAAATTATGTATATTAGAAATGTAGGGGCTGGAGGGATAGCTCAGCGGTTAAGAGCACTGATTGTTTTTGCAGAGGGTTCAAGTCCCAGCACCCACATGGTGGCTATGAACTGCCTTTAACTCCTGTTCCAGGGGAATTTGAAGCCCTCTTCTGACCTCTGTGGCATTGCACAACATGGGTACACTCAAATACATGCAGGCAATACACTCATACACATAAAATAAAAATAGTAAATAAAATATTAAAAAAAGAAATGTAAAGTGTTAGTATATTAAGTATAGACATTTAAAAACCAAGTGCAGAGGCATGCGCCTGTAGTCACAGGTACTGAGAGTGCTGGGGCAAAAGGATTAGTTGAAGCCAGTCAGAGATCAGCCTGGTTAGTGAGCCCTCATCTATGTTATCAAAATGTGGCCCACTGGCCAGGTGTGGTGGCGCATACTATTAATCCCAACACTCAAGAGGCAGAGGCAGAAGGAGCTCTGTGAGCTCAAAGCTGGTCTACATAGGACGTTCCGGGACAGCTGGGACTACAAAAGACCCTGTCTCAAAAAAAAAAAAAAAAAAAAAAAAAAAGAAGAGAAAAAAATGTGGATCATTAACAGATGCCAAAAGTTTTGATTGTCAGGGATCTCCTTGATGACGCTCTATAAATACTACTTCAGAGCTAATGTGAAAAGAAAAACTCTACCTCTCCAGCTGTAGAAAACCCTTCTTAGCTCTTTCATACTTTAAGTAAAGCAGGCTTTTTTGTTTCGGTAGTGGCTCTTTTTTGCCTTCATGAAATATTGCTCATGCACTTAGTCCTTTAGCTGTTGAAACTGTGCTATTTCTTCTGCCTGGTTCCACTGATGGAGTTCACAACCACCTTTGGTGGAGCTCCTGATACCAGTTATTAAAGCTCTTCCCACTCAAGTTGTTTTGAAAGTGAATCCAATAAGGTACACAGGATTTTAAAACTTTTTTTAAAACTTAACAGACTATATTTTTAAAGCTATTTTTAGATTTACAAGAACATTGGACAGAAAGTACAGACTCCACATACCTCTCATCTCCCTGCCCCAGTTCCTCCTAGTAGTAACAACTTACATCAGTGTGTACATGTTATAATTGAAGAACTAATGTTACTGTAAAGGCATGTGCCACTATGCCCAGCCTAATACTTTATTATTAATTAAAGCTCATATTTGGCATTTGGGTTAAAAAATATATTATGCTAAATAAAAATCAGCCAACAAAAAATTATGATAGAAGATTATGTGTGAATGAAAGTCTACAAAAGGTTAAAATACAGTGACAGAAAGCACATCTATGGTTGTTATCTGTGCATGAGCAGGGGCTAGGAACTGTCTGCACAGTAACATAAAGACACTTTGGGGGATGATAACAATGTTTTCCTGTATCATGGTTATATGGCTAACATATAGCTATGTGTATTTTACAACTTGTCAAATTGTATGCTTATGACTGATAAATTCTAAGGCAAGTAAATTACAATCTAAAAAAGACTGCTGGACAAAGTGTATGGGTTTAGGAAGGGAGTAGAAGGGAGGAGGAAAAGAAACCATAAACAGAAGAGAAAGGAGAAGAAGACACAGAAGAGGGCATGGTCTCCTTAGAAAGACTCATTAATGTCAGTGAGTGCTCAAAATCTTATTAGGTGTCAGTCAACAACTAGGCACAGAGAAGAAACACCTTTAATACCGAGTAATTTATAGTCTAGTGAGTGAGAAAAATATGTAAATCAACCATAATAACCAGATAGCTATTATAAATATATTGGGATAATTAATCTTGTTAACTTGATGGGATTGGACTCACCTAGAAGACACAGCTCTGGATGTGTCTGTGAGGGCATTTCCAAAGACAGCTAAATGAGGAGAAAAGCCCCATCCTGAATGTGGGCATCACCACTGCATCATCTGGGGTTCTGGATAGCACTCAGAAAGCTGCTGGATATCAGCATTCCTCTCTCTTTGCTTTTGAACTGAGGATGCAATGTGACCAGCCACATCACACTCCCCTCCTCTGCCTTTCTCACCAAAACGAACTCTAACCTTTCTAATCACGAGCCAAAATAGATCTTTCCTCCCTATACTGCCCTTTGTCAGATACTTGGTTGTAGTGATTAGAGGGAAAAAAAAAAAATAGAAGCTCTGGAGAGATGATTCAGTGAATAAAGGCACTTGCCACCAAGCCTTATGACTTGAGTTCAACCTCTGGAACCCACAGAGTAGAAAAAGTGACTACTAAAACTTATCCTCTAATTTCTGCATGCACACAGGGGTACACGCACACACATACATGCAACTCTAAATGAATACTGTAATTAAAATATATATATATATATATATATTACTGTGGAGAAGCAATGGAGTTTGAAGTAGGAGGGATGGAGAAAGGTTTAACCATTTTAAAGCTACAATGGGGGGGTAACCTCATCTAAAGAGAACTCAAAAGTGAGGTAGCCAAGGACCTATTTGGTCTCTGCAATATATAAATACACAATGAGCTAAAGGTTTTACCTTTTAATAACAACAGCAGGTTCCATTTCACTTACCAATGTCAGAAGTTGATGATCCACTTGCCTCACTCACTGAAATGCTAGTACTGAGTCTGGCCTGATGCTGGAGTGGAAAGAGCCCAGAGACAATTCTTGACATTATTTCTTGTTCTACCCTATAGAGATAAAGAAAGATTCCTAAATTTTTAAGAGTATAAAATGGTGGCTATCTCACCCTAAAGAATAACCTTCACTCATGGGCACAAACATATGAGAGCAGTCATCTGAAAGTTATAACAGCAAAGAATAAACATTTGTATCTTCTAACAAGACAGGACACAGGAAACAATCTTCTGGGAAATGATTCATGAAATCACCTTAAAATATTTCATATTTGTCTAATGAAAAGTTTAATAGAACCCCTAAAGTAAACATAAGATTATCTTTATTTCTTTATTAAGAATAAAGTACAATTTTTTTGGTCTTTTTTTTTTGGGAAGGGGGATGTTTTTTGAGACAGGGTCTCCCTATAGCCCCAGCTGGCATGGAACTCACTATGTAGACCAGGCTGGCCTTGAACTCACAGAGATCTGCCTGCCAATGCCTCCCCAGTGCTGGGATTAAAGGCGTGCACCACCACACCTGGCAAGAATAAAGTAAATTTTTTAAAAATAGGAAAAAAAAAATCCTGCTCCCCTTACCTCAAAGGCATAAACACACAGATTGCAATACAGGCTACTTTCTTTCTTTAAAAGAAAAGGAAAATGTATTTCCAGGTCTTTTCAAGGAAGAAGAGGAGAAAGGAAATGGTACAGAGTAGGAGACTTTTTTCAATACATATTTTTAGTATCTATTTTTATTATTCCCCTGTGGGAGCTGGGAATTAAACGTAGGTCCTCTGCAAGAATAATCAGTGCTCTTAACCACTGAGCTATGTTTCTAGCCCCTCAATACATTTCTTTAGGACAGCTAACAGGCTTATTAAAAATTACAATTATAGAAATGTTGGATGTTCACTGTAGAAAATTCATAAAACATAAAGGTTTTTAAAAACTGTTAAGGTTCACTCATAATCATAGAGTTGAAAATAAATATAGTTAACAATCTCATATATTTCAAAATTTTGTTCTATGCACACTTATTTTGAGGTCTTTTTAAAAATTTTTTTGATTTATTTTAATTTTATGTGTATGAGTATTTTGCCTGCATGTATGTAAGTGCACCAAATGTGTGCCATGCCCACGGAGGAAGAAGAGGACATCAGATCCCCTGGACCTGGAGTAATGGATGGTTGTCAGCCGCCACATGGGTGCTGGAAACCAAACCTGGGTCCTCTACAAGAGCAGACAGTGCTCTTGACCACTAAGCCATCTCTCTAACCCGTTTTGAGGTCTTCTATGCTAGGTTTACACTGTTAGTAACTTGCTTCATTTGTATATCAGCATACTACCTCTTCCCCTATTAATTACTAAATGTTCTTCAAAGACTCATCTTAATAACTCTACTAATATTCTGTAATTTGAGTTTACTCCACAGGTTCTTTAAGAAGCCAGGCGTGGCCATACGTGTCTATAATCTCAACTACTTGGGAGGCTGAGGCAGGAAAAGTTTGGGGTCAATGTGGGCAACATAGGACTTAATCTCACCACTAACATCACTGTCAAAAATTGCTCTTCTATAATTTCCTTAAAGTTTGTCAAAAGTAAAAGTAGGGAATAGTAAAAATTCATTTCATATTCACAAGTAACATGTGAATTTAAAAATATATATTTTTAATGAATTACAGGGCTGGAGAGATAGCTCAGGAGTTAAAAGTACTGGCTGCTCTTGCAGAGGACCTGGATTCAATTCACAACATCCACATTGTGGCTAACAACTGTCCATAACATGAACATAATAACTGATTATTACTGCCAAATTTTGCAAATATGTAATGAACTTAGGACAGAGCCTTGATTTTAGTTCTATGTGTTATGTGACCTAGTAACAACTTAATTATTTCTTCAGGATAATGAAAATGAACCACTAAAGAATGTGTACAACTTCTTTTGCCCTAGCGGACAGCCTACAAATACTGAAGGGCCATTTCACAATTAGTTATGTCATCAGCTTTACACATCAAGGAATTTTCAGTGAGCTTCACAAAGTTTAATAAACAAAAGAAGAGAGGGAAGCCTTTCAATGAAAATTTAGTATTTTCCATTTATATCTTCTACTGTGATTCTACTCATGCCAATGCCATTATAAACTCACCACTGAATTAAGCTATTTTCCAATGTTTCTTTTCTCTCAATTACTTTATCCAAAATCTCAGTAGTGGGCTGAAAAGTAGAAACAACTGGAGGAAATGGAGGCCCATTATATTTTGTAGAAACAAGTTTAACACTTCTGTTAAACTCCAGCATTGGTTCAGAATATTCAGGAATTTCATCACATTTTTCCTCTTCCTGGTAACAAAAAAAAAAGAAAAGAAAAGAAAACCGAAACTATTATATCTAACCAATATATCTAACCAATATTTCAAAATTAGTCGACAGCTTTCCAACTTAGGTGGTATTACATTAAGTATAAGATAGACATTACTCATACATAGACATTAATCATATGTATCACATTGAAGAAACTTCATTTACACAGTTTGTCTTTTTTTTTTCATCTTTTTTGAGACAGGGTCTCCCTGTAGGCCCAGCTGTCCTGGAACTCACTATGTAGACCAGTCTGGCCTTGAACTCAAAGAGATCTGCCTGCCTCTTCCTCCCAAGTGCTGGGATTAAAGGTGTGTGCCACAACGCCCGGCAGGTTTTCTCTTTTTAAAATCCCAAATTCAGACTATGAGTCTAGCTCAGTAGTAGAGCACTTGCCTAGCATATGTGATGCCACCAGAAAACAAAACAAAAAAGCCAACCTCAGTATTCCTTCTACATACACATAAAGCAAACTAGAAAACTTGGAAATTATGGCATAAAACATTATTTCTCTTTAGAAATTTATGAATTTGATTTACTATCACAAAAATCCTGATGTTTCCAAGCATTTCATTGTTGTAGCAAAACCTACATTTACATTTAAATATGAAGTTTGGTTATCTTACACTTATTTTCATCATCCAAAAGTTACTTCTGTAATTTGTTTTGTTTTGTTTTGATCTTTTTGAGACAGGGTCTCCCTGTAGCCCCAGCTGTCCTGGATTCACTATGGAGACCAGGCTGGTCTTGAACTCATAGAGATCTGCCTGCCTCTGCCTCCTGAGTGCTGGGATTAAAGGCTTGAGCCACCACGCCCGGCCTAAGATTTCATTTTTTGACTAAACAAAACTAGTCTTAGCTCTGAAAGTCAAGAAATGTGAAAAATATCCTCCCTAAATCAACTGCCACACTAATAGTATTCAAATACTGTGTCTCCTGAGCTCTTCTGGCTCTCATAGATTTTAGTTTCTTCTGCTTTCTCTCCTGTTTCATTATTTCCATCATTTCCAGGCCTCTTTCTCTGAATTTCAGACCATTTATAACTGTTCCCTCGATATAAACTGGAGCTTTGCCATTACTCTAGAGATTAGGAGTTAAATGTCACAGAATGAAGAAAGGAAAGAGTGTGGAGAAGGGAAGCCAGGAGACAGGAAGAAGGCAGGGGAAATATCTCAGGGAACAGTGGACAGTCAGTGTTTATGAGAGAAAACTATACTACTGAATAGTAACTGTATAATTTTTGAAAACATTTAATACTTTTATTTTATGTATACTGCCTGCATGCATGTAAGTGTACCTGTGTTGTGCAAAGGCCATAGAGGCCAGAAGAGGGCGTCAGAGTCCCTGGAACTGGAGTTACAGATGGTTGTTAGCCACCATGTGGGTGCTGGGAATCAAATCCAGGTCCTCTAAAAAAGCAGCCAGGGTTCTTAACCACTAAGCCATCTCTCCATCACTGTAACTGTATAATTTTTTTAAAGAAAAGTATATTTAACTCATAGTAAGAACACATTTCTTAGCCAAAGGGCAGTCTACCACCTGGAAAAATACTGGTAGGGAAATAACTGGTGATTTCTAAATTTGTTACCTGAACATCAATGACCTCATTAAAGTTTGTTCCTGGAAACTTCACTTCTTCTTCATCTGCCTCCACAAATTCTGGAGTCTAAGAAAGGACGTTCAGAAAGTTTTTATTGCCTTCAATTGAAAAGATTTACACATTATTTATCATATTTTTAAAAATATTTTATTTATTATTTTTATTTTATGTGTATGTGTGTATTGCCTGCATGTAGGTAAGTGTACCCATGTCATGCAATGCCCACAGAAGACAAAAGCAAGAACAACCAGTGTTCTTAACCACTGAGCCATCTCTCCAGCCCCATAATTTATCATATTTTAAAATTAGCACAACCTTGTAATTATATGGCCCTGTTATTTTAATATTCTGTTCAGAATTTATTTAGTTAGTAAATAAAATATAGGCTAGTCCCCCAAACATTAGCTCATTATTTGGTAACTATAAAAAATTATCTGGGCAAGGTAGCTCTGTAACCTCAACACTCAGAAGGCTGAGGCAGGAGGATTACTGGTTCAAAGTTAGTTTGGGCTATGTAGTGAGTTCCAGAGAAGCCTGAGCTAGAGTGAGGCCCTGTCTCAAAACAAAACAAAACAAAATCAAACCAAAACAAAACAAAACACCAATTGTTACATTTAAATTACATCCGAATGCAAATTAAAAAAAACAAAACTTGTTTAGATTTATTTAAGTTGTGTGTGCCTGTAGCACCACAGCCTGCATGAGGAAGTCAGAAGACAGCCAACAGGAATTGGTTTTCTCCTTCCACCAAGTGGGTCCTAGGGATGGAACTCAGCTCATTAGGTTTGGCTGCAAGTCCTCTTACCTACTGAGCCATGTCTCCATTCACCAATGCAAAATTGAAACTATCAAAAGGCTGAATCTGTGCTTTGAGGAAGGTATTTACACATGTAGCTATAGAAGTATACATGTACACAAACTCACAGAACAACAAATACAAATTCAAATAACTTTAACTATTAAAAAAAAGGGGGGGGGGCTGGAGAGATGGCCCAGCAGTAAAGAGCACTGGCTGCTCTTGTACAGGACCTGGGTTCAATTCCCAGGACCCACATGGCAGCTAACAATCGTGCCTAACTCCAGTTCCAAAGAAATCCCACACCCTCTTCTGACCTCCATGGGCATTGCACAACACGGGTGCACTTACATACATGCAGGCAATACACTATACATATAAAATAATAAAATATTTTTTTTTAAAGTGAGGGCCAGTGAGATAGCTTAGCACATAAAAGCACTTCTCTCCAAGCCTAACGACATGAGTTCGCTTCTTGGGACCCACATAGTGAGAGGAGAGAACCAACTCTCAGAAGTTGTACTCTGGGGGCTGGAGAGATGGCTCAGCAGTTAAGAGCACTGACTACTCTTGCAGAGGACCCAGGTTTGATTCCCAGCACCCACATAGCGGCTACAAACCATCCTTAACTCCAGTTCCAGGGGAATCCAAAGGCCACTTCTGACCTTCGCGGCACTGCACGACACAAGTGCACTCACATACATGCAGGCAATACACTCATACACATAAAATAAAAATAATAAATAAAATTTTTTTTTAAATTGTTCTCTGACCTCTACAGGCATGTCATTATAGGAGCATACACATACACATACACAAAGAGAGAGAGGGAGACACACACACACACACACACACACACACACACAAATAAAAATGTAATTTAAAAATTTTTTAAAAATATCCCAGCACTTGGGAAGCAGAAATAGGTGGATCTCCGTGAGTTCAAGGCCATCCTGGTCTACTACATAGTGAGTTCCAGGCCAGCTGGGGCTACAGGGAGACCCTGTCTCAAAAAGACAAAAACTATTTTTTTAAAAAATAATCATCTTCAAGTTTAGTACCTTGGCTTTACTATATAAAAATCTAATTATCAGCCGGGCGTGGTGATGCACGCCTTTAGTCCCAGCACTCGGGAGGCAGAGACAGGTGGATCTCTGTGAGTTCAAGGCCAGCCTGGTCTACATAGTGAGTTCCAGGCCAGTTGGTACTACAGGGAGACCCTGTTTCAAAAAGATCAAAACAATTATCAAAACATACCAAGAGTGGTGACAAGCGGAACTCTGAGTTTGAGGCTAGCCTGGTCTACTTAGCAAGTTCCAGGTCAGTCAGAGCTAGTAAGCTAGTGAGAACCTGGCACAAAAAAAAAAAAAAACTTAAAACAGCATCTTGCTGAAAGAATTGCAAATAGCCCAAATTTATTATTTGTTACCATATATATTCCAATAAACTGATAACAAAATTACTGATAAGAAGTTAAATTAGGTATAAATTACATTTAGGATCAATTCTATTATTTTGTTTATAATCAAGAGAAACTTTTGGTACTTTTTTAAAAAACTGTATACAAGCTGGAGAGATGGATCAGCAGTTAAGAGCTGTGGCTGTTCTTGCAGAGGACCTGGATTCAGTTCCCATCACATACGGTGGCTAACAACCATCCATAACTCCAGTTCCAGGGGACCCAACACCCTCTTCTGACTTCCTCAAGCACTGCACAACATGGTGCACTTACATACACGCAGACAATACACTCATACACATAAAATAAAATAGTAAATATTTTTAAAAACTGCACCCTTAATGATCAAATTTGCTTTGATAGATAAAACTTGGTTCCAAGTTACAGTGCTATTTTGATGTAATAAGGGCCATCACATCATTATTCAGAAGAAAATATATACAAGGGAAAAGTACATTTTTGATGTCAACAACACAGTCTAAGAACGTAACATCTCAAAATAGAAACTCCAGTTGTCACTACAAAGTTCATATATTGGGCAGATAAGATGGCTCAGTGGATAAAGATGCTTGTAGCCAAGCCTGATGATCTGAGTTCAATCCCTCAAACCTACATGGTGAAAGGTGAGAACAGACAGTTGTCCTCTAACTTTCACATGCTTGCTGTCATGCTTGCATGCATGCTTTGACATATGCACACCATGCACATGTTCACACAAACACACACACACACACAAAATGAATGAATGAATTACTGAATGTATAAAAATTTCACATTTGGAGAATCTGTAATTCCCATGTAAATCAAAGATTTATTACCAAAGAAACAGAAAATTCTTTCTTCACAAGAATCTCAAAATTGCTAAAAAGTTATACTAAGGATTATCATATTCTGAGTATTTATAAAGATCTCAAAGCAACTTTTTTTGCAAGTTTATAAACAATTTGAAACTTATTTTGAATTTTTTCCTCATAAACCTCAATTATTATACTATGTTATGATTTGGTAAAGGTTTTGTAATGAGCAACAGTTAACAATAGAAAACCATGTAAAAGATTTCCAAACTCTACCTGGATCCAGGTGTGCAAGGGAGGAGAAGGGGCTTGTTTAGGACTAGGTGAAGGGGAGCCACCATCAGAACTGCTGTATGAAATGCTGTCAATATCCACACTAGGTAATACCTACAACAGAACAGAGCATCTGGCTTTCCATTCACCACCGTGTCTTAAATAACTGTCAAGAACAGACAGCAAACATGTCCTTTCAATTTTTATTGTGACTGACAAATACTCTGAATTATAAAAACATATTATGCAAAGTATTTAAGAGAGAAACACAAAACCCTGTCTTAAGGCAACTGCCATATGTCCTTCTCTTTTTCCTGTGCACTCAGGCAGGCGAATGTTAACAGTTCTTAGTCCTGAGTGCCCACTGCATTAGATCATAAACACCTTAAAGTCATGCTTCTCTTCAGACTTCATATTTTAAAATAACTATGTAACACTTCAATGATGATACATTTCTTAATTGTATTCTTAATTTCTTAATTCTTAATTTCAGTCATATTCCTTATTGGTAAACATTTAGAATTGTCAATTTTCCCATTCTTGCACATAGACTGACATAAAAAGGCCCAACTTCTTCATATGGGCAGTGTTTCTTCACAAAATTATTGCATCATGCCAGAAAGATTTTCAATTAACTTCTTGGGCCACAGGCATTAGGTATTCAAGATTCTTTGTAATTACTGGCAAAATACTATCCAAATAATCTGTTTACAGCATTAAAAACATAATTAATTTTAAGTTTTATCCAACCCTCAGCTAAAATTAGCAGTTTTATCTTACTTATAATCAAAATTTAATTTTAAGTTCCTTGCTAATAAACTGTACTTACCCTTTCACAGAATTTCATTCATGTGCTTTGAGCATTTCTGGATTTAGATCTACTACATTTCCTTACTATTTATGGAAGCCTTTATTATTTAAATTTCTAATTCTTATGAGCATCTTCCTTTCACACAAGTTCTCACTCTATCCTGCTTTCCTTTCTAAGGCTGTTTGAGATCTATATAGCCTTTAGATTTTAGATTCAAATTTCTCTTTCCTATCATATCTATGGTTTCTTCTCCAATATCGAGACTTCTGTTCAGTTTTAATAAAAATTCCATGTAATAATCTTCCAATTTTAATGATTTTTATTGTATAATTTAGACTACTGCCAATTTGGGATTCATTTGCTATACAGCAGGAGTTTAGAGTCTAAAACTTATCTTTTTCTCACATCATTAAGCCAATTATAACATACACTTTTCTACTGCTACTGAAATAACACATGTCCATCACATTAAAATTCCTTTTAAATAATAAAGGTAATTTTAAAAACCTATTACAGTGATCTAGTGTCAAAGTTTTTCATTTAGTTTTTGGCTGTTATTTGAGACAGAGTTTCATGTAGCCCAGGCTGGCCTTGAACCTATTCTGCAGCTAAAGATAGACTTGAATTCCTGATGTCTGCCTCCATCTCCCAAAGGCTAGCTCAAATGAGCCACCATGCTAGCATTACCAAAACTCTTAACTTTTCTAAATCCTTGATGTTTTCAGATATCAAAATGATCCTAAGGTTCAAGTTTAAGAAAATAAAAATAGAATTTCACTAAAAGTGCACATTAAATTGGGGGAGAATTGTTAACTTGACTAGTCTGTTCATAAAAATAAGTTCTCTCTACATTCTTTCAAGCCTTATGTTTGGGTAAAGTTTAAATTATTAATGATATAGGTCACATATATTATTAATTTTTTATTTTTGTATTTTATAATGTGTTTATTTAGTTTATTTTTGAGACAGGAATATCCTATATAGCCCTGGCTAGCGGGCTGCTTGAAACTTGCTGTGTATACCAGGCTGACCTTGAAACTATAGCAATTCTCTCACATCTGCCTCCTGAATGATTGGACTACAGCAGTATGCACCACCAGGTCTGGCACTAACTCTTTAAAATTAATTACAGTGCATTGTTTAACTACTCTGTTCAGCATATTGTCTAGTCAGGCTGGATGTGAATCACTGACCTCTGAGAGTAGCTCAAATGTTGCAGGACAAGGACACATAACATTAGTACCAGTTTTAAACAAATAAAGGAGTCTTGATGAAAGCAGTTTTCCTCAAGTTATATGATGAATTTTCAGTACTCGTGTTTGAAGTTTCTGCTTCTGCCCCCAGCATACCTGTACAGAAAGCTGAGGAGGGTCCTTCTTTTCTGACTTCATTTCTACAACTGCTATGTTAGGTTTCTTTATGCCTGCTTCTACTTTACGAGTTGATGGTGGAATAGACATAGTCACAGTTACAGGGTGTGGCTTGTTTACAATTACTCCAGCTGGTGGCATGGAATCACTATTACTTTGAGTTTGTCCTACAAAATTTAGGAGAGAAAATGAGTCAATTATTTCTGAAGCAAAAAAGAAAATTCAGATTTAATGCCTGGATCATTGGGGCTGATCTTGCACAAAAAAGGAAAGTATATTTCACAATCACCTCTCTTCGTTATCACCACCTTGCATGCTCACTAATTCAATGGTAACATCTATCAGTTACTTGTATGTAACACCCACTTCACATATTAATACCTCATGTAATTCTTAAAGTAAGGGGTGCTAATCTACATATTAGAACATGCCCAAAACCTGTGGACTTTCATTTCAAAGGTTCCACCTGTATTTTACATTTCAAAATAAAGATTATGGAGCTGAGCATGGTGGTTCAGGCCCATAATCCCAGCACTTGGATGACTGAGGAAGGAAGATTGCTACAAGTTTGAAGCCAGTCTAGGCTAATAGTGAACACCAAGTCAGCATGGGCTACCGAGTGCGACCTCGTCTCAAACACAAACAAAATAATCCCACCAAAAGTTGACAGTATAACATATTTATTAAAAGCACTATAAAGCCAGTCTGACGGGGGTAAGATGAAATCTCAAAGTGGTTTTAATTTGCCTTTCCCTAACTACTAGTGATGTTGAATACCTTTTAAGATCCTTCTTAGCCATCTTTATTACTTCTTTTGATAACTTTCTGTTCAGTTCCTTAGCCCATCTTTTTAAAAATATTTTATTCATTATTTTTATTTTATGTGTATGAGTGTATTGCCTGCATGTATGTGAGTACACCCGTGTTGTGCAATGCTGCGGAGGTCAGATTCCCCTGGAACTGGAGTAAAGGACAGTTCGTAGCTGCCATGTGGTGCTGGGAACTTAACCTGGGTCCTCTGCAAGAGCAGTCAGTGCTCTCAACTGCTGAGCCATCTCTCTAGCCCATATGAATCTTAGGATAGTTTTTTCCAATTCCGTGAAAAATGTCATTGGGATTTTGTTTGGCATTGCATTGAATCTATAAATGACTTTTGGTAGGATGGTCATTTTCACAATATTAATTCTTCTGATCCATGAGCATGGGAGGTCCTTCCACCTTCTAATGCCTTCCTCAATCTCTTTCTTTAAAGATTTAAAATTTTCATTGTAGAGGTCTTTAATGTCTTTGGTCAGGTTTATTCTGAGATACTTTATTTTTTTTGCAGCTATTGTGAAGGGGAGTGTTTCCATGTACTCTTTCTCCGATTGTTTGTTATTGGTATATAAAAAGGCTACAGACTTCTGTACATTAATTTTGTAACCTGCCACTTTACCGAACATGTTAATAATTTCTAGCAGTTTTCTGGTGGAATTTTTGGCATCTCTTAGATATCATATTATCTGCAAAAAGGGATAATTTGATCTCTTCTTTTCCAATCATTACTCCTTTAATGTCTTTCTCTTGTCTTATTTATTGCTCTTGAAAGAGTTTCAAGCACTATGTTAAAAAGGAGTGGAGACAGTGGACAGCCTTGAATTAGAATGCTTCCAGTTTTTCTCCAGTAAGAATCATGTTGCCTGTGGGTTTGTTGAAGTATTTTCCCTCCAGGACTTTGAACATAAAGACATGTTGAATTTTGTCAAAGGCCTTCTCTGCATCTGTTGAGATGACCATGTGGTTCTTATCTTTGAGCCCATTTATATGGTTTATGATGTTTATTGACATATATATTGAACCATCCCTGCATCTGTGGATAAAGCCGAATTGATCATGGTGGATGATGTTTTGGATATATGTCTCTGTATGCAGTTTGCAAGTATCTTGTTGAGAATTTTTGCATCTATGTTCATTAAGGATATGGGTCTATAGTTTTTTTTTTGGTTGTATCTTTACCAGGCTTTGGTATGAGAGTGATGCTGACTTCATAGAAGGAATTTGGAAGTTCTCCATCCATTTCTGTCTTTTTGAATAAATTAAGTAGTATTGGATGAAGATCCTCTTTAAATATCTGGTAGAATTCTGCTGTAAATCCATCTGGTCCTGGGCTTTTTTTAGTCAGGAGGTTTTGTATTACTGTTTCAATTTCTTTTTGTGTTATAGGTCTGTTTAAGCTGTTAATCTCTTCTTGGTTTAGTTTTGGTGGCTCCCATGCCTTTAGATATCTGTCCATTTCTTTTCGGTTTTCAAATTTAGTAGCATATAGGTTTTTAAAGTATTCTCTTATAATGTTCCACCTCATTTTTGGTGTCTGTTGTGGTTTCACCTTTCATCTCTGATTTTGTTGATTGGAGGTGCTCTTTCTTTCTTTTGGTTAATTGGGCTAATAAGTCTATCAATCTTGTTTATTTTTTCAAAGAACAGCTCTTGGATTCGTTCAGTCTTTGTATTGTTTTCTTTGTTTCTATTTCATTAATTTCTGCTCTGATTTTTGTTATTTCCTCTTGTCTGCTGGGTTTGGGTTTCATTTGTTGTTGCTTTTCAAGTGTCTTGAGTTGCAGTGTTAAGTCATTTATTTGTGTTCTTTCCAATTTTTTGATGTAGGCACTTAGAGCTATAAACTTTCCTCTAAGGACTGCTTTCAACGTGTCCCAGAAGTTTTGTGTTGTACTGTCCTTTCCATTTAGTTCCAGGAATACTTTTATTTCTTTCTTAATTTCTCTTTTGACCCATTCATCATTCAGGAGTGTGTTGTTTAA